ACAGTACTTTTTTTTTTTTGATTGGTCCTGGGACTTGAACTCTGGGCCTGGGCATTGTCCCTCAGCTCTTCAGCTCAAGGCTAGTGCTCTACTGCTTGAGCCACAGTGTCACTTCCGGCTTTTTCTGCTTATGTGGTGCTGAGGAATCAAACCCAGGGCTTCATGCATGCAAGGCAAGCACTCTACCACTGAGCCACCTTCCCAGCCCTGCACAGCACTTCATATCTTCATTTTTGTTTTATTCTAATTTTTGTTTTGTTTTGAATACGGGTCTCATTATGTAACTCAGGCTGGCCTCCAAGTCAAAAAACCTTTCTGCCTTAACCTCCTAAATGCATGTGCTATCACACCTACTTTATTTTTCTTCACAGCATTTGCCACCATCTGTCATACTGTAAAATATATTTACTGTCCATCTCCCTTTAACCTCCTCCTATAGGGGCAGAGCTTTTTGTCTTTTTTTGTACCTGGTTGTGAAATGTGGGATGAATGAAATACTGTGACCTTTCAAGCAGCTGAATCACTTCTATCATGTGATCAGTACAAAACCCAGTGACTTAACATGCCAAATACAGATGATTTGTGGGTTGGCATCATTCCTTCTCTTATTATGAACAATGAATATTAGAGCTTCTTGTCATTTTGATGAGGATGACACATTTAATCCATTTAGAGGATGTAGGATCACAGACACTGAGTGCTAGGTGCTAGTGGCTCATGTCTGTAATCTTAGCTACTCAGGAGGCTAAAATCTGATCATTGAGGTTCAAAACCAACAAAGGACAGGAAAGACTGAGAAACTCTGTCTCCCTCCAGTTAACCACCAAAAGGCAGGAAGCAGAACTGCAGTTCAAGTGATAGTGTGCCAACCATGAGCAGAAAAAGTGGAGAGTTTGAGACCTGGATTTCAAGCCCCAGTACTGGCACACAGTACACACAGAAAGTAAATCTTGCTGAGTAATGAACTGTTTAGGGCATGAATAGGTTCAAACCCAATTTCCATAAACATAATAAAGCTTTTAATGGTTATTTTAACTGTGAGATAGGCGCCAATGTTGGCATTCAGAAGTAGGTGTTCATTTTGTAGCTAGGAAGGTAGGAAAGCAGAAACATTACATATGGAGTGAGCATGAAAGAAACCACACTATTGGGTGAGGGGACTGAAGGAGGAAGGTCATGCGTCCAAGGCCAGCCTGATCTACACAGTGAGACTATCTCAAATAACAAGCAAAAACAAGAACTAACAAAAATAACCTCAAAGGAACAGAAACAAAACTATGAACCATGTGTCAGTGGCTCACGCCTAAAACCCTAGCTACTCAGGAGGTTGAGATTTGAGGGTCATGGTTCATAGCCAGCCCGGGCCAGAAAGTCCATGAGAACTTATCTCCAAATAACCACCAGAAAATTGGAACTGGTGCTGTGACTCAAAGTGGTAGAGCACTAACCTTGAGTAAAAGAGCTCAGGGACAGTACCCCAGGCCCTGAGTTCAAGCCCTATGACCGCAAATGGGTTTGTTTGTTTTATTTTGGATTTTTTTAAGCTGGTCCTGGGGCTTGAACTCTACCATTTAAGCCATAGCTCCACTTCTGGCTATTTGGTGGTTAATTGGAGAGAAGAGTCTCATGGACTTTCCTGATTGGGCTGGCTTTGAACTGCATTCCTCAGATCTCAGCCTCCTGAGCAGCTAGAATTACAAGCATGAGCCACCTGGCTTCTAGATATATTTCAGTAGGAGGCCATGAGGCTTGCTAGTTGACATCGCTATGAAGTCAGCACAGAGCTTAAGCCTATACCATGGGGATGAGGTTTGCCTTAAAGAAACAAAACTCCCATGAGCCCTAGGGGTGTGTGTTGATGTTTCACTTCAGTCCTCAACCCCCAAAGCCAGCCTCAACCAATGGAGAGCCACTTTGACATCACTCCGTTCTGGATTGAGATCCTATGCTTTTAGGAAATGGCCTTGTTTCTGGGATGGCTCCTGCTACCAACTAAACAAAGAGAACAGTCCCTAAGTGTTGAATGAATCCTATTCAAAAGCCTGGAGTGTGGTGCACTCTTTACCTTCCTGCCTTTGTCACACCAAGTGCATCTGTTTAAACCACACCTGCTCCCATGGGAATGAGGCAAGGAGGTGCACACCATAGTGTGTGCATTCCTGGGCTCTATGTTAGGTTGCATAATGAGCACAACAGTATATATGTTTTATAAAAATCTGGTCTTGGGATAAGACTCATGATTGGTGGCTTTTGTAGCAGGACAAATGTATTTTAAGCTGCGGGTAGGTTGAAGAGATGGCAGTGGCTCTTATTTCCACATACCCAGGGTTCTTAGTGCAGAATTCTAATAGGGGCTTATCTTGATATGCTAGGACAACCTACTGAGGCACTGTCACCACCTTGTAGCCACAAGGTAGAGGTACAACCTTGTTGCAGAAAGCTTGTGCCCATGTAAAGAGAATTAAAATAGGTCATGATTTTATATAGATAGATATGTATAGATATACATATCTATCTATATATGTATAGATATACATATCTATACATATATATATTAAAAATTGATTGCCCATGTAATTGTAACCCCTCTGTATGGTATTTTCACAATAAAAAAAATTGAGGGGTTGGGAAAGTGGCTCAGTGGTAGAGTGCTTGCCTTGCCTGCATGAGGCCTTGGGTTCACTTCCTCAGCACTACATAAGCAGAAAAAGCCAGAAGTGGTGCTGTGGCTCAAGTGGGAGAGCACTAGCCTTGAGCTGAAGTGCTGAGGGACAGTGCCCAGGCCTAGAGTTCAGGCCCCACAACCAGGAAAAAAAAAATAAACCCTTAGGAAATCTTATCAGGAATCAAATGGATATGAGGTTTTGTCTGTTAGAAGAAAAGAGACGAAGTAAGTTCTATCAAAAAGAGAACCCTCTTTAGATGAAGAGTGTAATGGCTGGGTCTTTTTTTTTTCTGCCAATCCTGGGGCTTGAACTCAGGGCCTGGGAACTGTCCCTGAGCTTTTTTGGTTCAAGGTTAGCACTCTACCACTTGAGCTACAGAGCCACTTCCAGCATTTTCTGTTTATGTGTTACTGAGGAATGGAACCCAGGGCTTCATGCATGCTAGGCAAGCACTCTACCACCACCCAGCTTGGGAATGTGTCTACATCTCACTGTAATCCTATCTAAAAATGAAAGAATACTGTAAAATGTAGTCAGTGATTGTGTATCTGAACCTGTCTTTTGGTTCCCAAAATCACTGCAACATTTTAGTTATTATTTGTCATGTTGTTCCCAGGTAGCATTGCAGGTGAGAAGGGTGCTGCAGTGTGAGCATGTCAGCTGGCGCCCCTCCGTGCAGCCGTGGGAGGAGTGAGGCCTTTGATGAGATTAGGTCACAAGGGTATCGTCTCATGAACAGATTAATGTTAGGAAATTAATGCACTGACTCTCATTAAAAAAAAGAAAGAAAGCTCACTGAGTAGGCAAACATTCTCTGCGGACCCATTGCTGAGAAATGTCCCGTGTATGACACATTTTCATACATCAAATTAAGCATAATGGTCCTTTTCCTGACTCTGTAGCTGTAACTGACACTTCCTGTGGGAAAGTTATCCATCATCTTGTCTGGCCTGTTGACCAGAAAGGATGGACAGGAGCCAACCAGTTACTTTGGAATTGGCTCCCCAAGTGATGGTATCTCTATTCTTAGAGATTTTCAAGAAAACAGATAAACATTTGGCACTATATAATATTATCAAATGACCTGATCTAGCTAGCTAGCTAGCTAGCTGGGAGTCTTGCTATGTTGCCTAGCCTGACTTTGAACTCCTGGATTCAAAGTTCTTCCTGCATCAGCCTTCCAAACACCTAGTGCTACAGGCATGTGCCACTCCACTTGGTAACCTGTTAGATTTTTCAGGTTCTTTCAATAATAATAATTATTATTATTTCTATTATTATTGTGCCAGTACTGGGGCTTGAACTCAGGGCCTTGGTGCTGTCCCTGAGCTTTTGGGCTCAAGACTAGTACTCCACTAGAAGTGGAGACAAATCTCATAGATTCATGCCTGAACTGGCTTTAAACCGTGATCCTCAGATCTCAGCCTCCTAAGTAGCTAGGATTATAGATGTGAGCCACCAGTGCCTAGCTTAAAATTATGATTTTTTTTTGCCAGTCCTGGGACTTAAATTCAAGGGCCTGGGCTCTGTCCCCAAGCCTCTCTGTGCTAAAGCCTAGCACTCTACAACTTGAGCCACAGTGCCACTTAGGCTTTTTCTGAGTAGTTTATTGGAGATAAGAGTCTCACAGACTTTCCTGCATGGGCTCGCTTCAAATGGTGATCCTCAGATTTCAGTCTCCTCAATAGCTAGAATTACAGGTATGAGCCACCAGCACCCAGCAACAATATGATTTTTTTAACACAATCTCTAAGAAAAGTGTTCATTGATGTCCAAATGTTAGTTCTAATTGCAAAGTTATCACTGATGTTGGGAACCTAACAGTGTACAACAATCATCTTTCAAAATCTCCAAAGCAGCCAGGTCCTGGGGGCTCATGTTTATAATATTAACTTTTTGAGAAGCCAAAACCAGGAGGATCTTGGTTTGAGGTCAGCCTAGGCATACATAAAAGACTCCTTTCAACCAGTGGCTGGGGCATGTTTGCACATGCCTGTCATCACGGCTATGTGGAAGGCTGAGATCCATAACCTGGGCAGAAAAGTCTGATTCTATTTTAGTGGTGATGTATACTTGTAATCCCAGCTATGAAAGGAAGCCTAAAATAGGCAGATCACAGTCCAGGTACCAGCTCAGGGCAAAAAATGAGACCTTATTTCAAAATAACCAGTTCATAAAAGGGCTGGAGGTATAACTCAGTAGTAAAGTGCTTGCCTAGCAAGCATGAGGCCCTGAGTTCAAACCTCAGTACACTGCCCCAAAACAACCAAAAATCAACACAGCCATCAGGATTGGAATCAGTTTTAACTTCTAGCACCTTCTTTTCAATTCCAGTTAATCTTTAGATGGTGGAAGATCTCTCTAAGGAGTGAGTTTCGGTCAGCCAAACCTGGAGAAACAAAAGAAACCCACGAAGACTTTCTAGAGAATTCCCATCTGCAAGGTGAGAAGGGAACTGTAAGGGGTGACTGCCTCCAGGTGTGCCTGTTACCTGGATACTGGGTCGAGACCTAGCCAGAGGAGGAATGGAGTCTGCCCCACCTTCTCAGTACTACATGAACAGAAAAAGCCAACAGTGATGTTGTAGCTCAAGTGGTAGAGTGCTAGCCTTGAGCAAAAGAAGCTCAGAGACAGTGCCCAGGCCCTGAGTTTGAGCCCCAAGAACTGGCAAAAAAAACAAACCTTCATAAGTAGGATAGTTTTTGTTGGCTTATTTGTGATGCTCTGTATGAAACCTAGGGTCTTATTACATGCTAGCCAAATACTCTACCAAGTTATCCCCAGCTCCAGTGACAGATTTCTTTGACAGAAAGTATCAGAAAAAGGAATCATTGGAGGTACTGATATATAATTCTGTTTCTTAAATATAACAGATTGTTGGATTCTTGAAAACAAAACATTGTTAACATATCCTGAGATTTCTTTTGGAAAAAAAAGTCTTAAAGATTCTAGGTTAACATGTGAATTCTTTTCTTTCTTTCTTTCTTTCTTTCTTTCTTTTTCTTTCTTTCTCTCTCTCTCTCTCTCTCTCTCTTTCTTTCTTTTCTTTTCTCTTCTTTGCCAGCCCTGGGGCTTGAACTCTGGGCCTTGGCACTGCCCCTGAGCTCTTTTGCTCAACTCTAGCACTCTACCACTTGAGCCACAGTGTGTAATTGGAGATAAGGGCTTTCCTGCCCGGACTGGTTTTGAACCTCTATCCTCAGCTCTCAGCCTCCTGAGTACTTGCTAGGATTACATTTGTGAGCCACCACACTTGGCAACATGTGAATTCTTTAATGAAGTTACAACATGTACATGTAAATTGTGTGTGTATGTGTGCATGTGTGCGTGCACGCGTGTGTGCATGTGCATGTGCACGCGTGTGTGTGCATGTGAATGTGTATGCCAGAGCCTGTGTACTATCCCTGAGTATATTTGCTCAAGACTGGTGCTCAATCACTTGAGCCACAAGTCCATTTCCATGTTTTTCTGCCTGAGTAACTAGGATTATAGGTGTGAGTCACCAGCACCTGGCTTGTAAATGTAATTTTTGAAATGTTTCCTTGAGCTGGCATGGTGATAGGCATGCTGGTGCACTCAGGGGGCTGAGACAGGAGTGTCATCTCACCTGCTTCATTTCTTTTTGTTTTTATTGGTCATGGGGCTTGAACTCTGGGCATGAGCACTGTCCCTCAGCTCTTCAGCTCAAGGCTAGCGCTCTACCACTTGAGCCACAGCACCACTTTTGGTTTTCTGGTGGTTTATTGGAGATGAGAGTCTCATGGACTTTCCTGCCTGGGCTGGCTTTGAACCACAATCCTCAGATCTCAGCTTCTTGAGTAGCTAGGATTATAGGCATGAGCTACCAGTGCCCGGCTGCCTCATTTCTTTTAATATCTGACAGAGGAATGTAGCTCAGTGATATAGCACTTGCCTAGCATGTGAGGCCCTGGGATCACTCCACAGACTATAAAACCAGACAAGCAGAGCTGTTGCCTATAACATTACATAATAGAATGCTGTTGGGGTGTTGGGGGAATCGTGAAGGGGGGTTGAACTCAGGGACTGGTGCTGTCCCTGAACTTTTGTGCTCAAGGCTAGTGATCCATTTGAGCCACAGCTCTACTTCTGGCTTTTTGGTGGTTAATTGGAGGTAAGGGTCTCACAGACTTCCCTGCCCTGACTGGCTTCAAACCTGATCCTCAGATCTCGGCCTCCACAGTAGCTAGGATTACAGGTATGAGCCATTGCAGCCCAGTTGTTGAACTTTTTGACTTACTCCTGACAATGTCAGTATTTCCCTGTGAATCACTAGGTCACATTGTTTCTGAATCTCATTTGTGAAATTAGGACAATTGTAAGGTCTGCCCTGGGAAGGCAGGGTAGACTCCTCCCCTCTATTTCACAAGGACATTGAAACAAATGAGTACATTTATGTGAAAGTACTTGCCACAAACACTATTGTTAACCACAGCAGTGAGCACTCGGATCTACTGGGGACTTATTTCCTGCCTCTTGAGTCAGTATCCCCTATCCAGTAGGTGAAACCCTGGCAGTTTGGGTTCTGCTTTCTTTTCTTTATCAGACAGGGTCTCACTAAGTTGTCCAGGCTGGTCCCGGAACTTGTGAGTCCACAGGAACTTCCTGCCACAGCTTTGGTGTAGCTGGAACCCATATGCCTAGCTGTATTTGGGCTTTTCTGCCGCTGGAACATGCAGCAGGGCCAGGGAAACTGGTTAGTGTAGGTTTCCATGTCCTTGAGTCTGGTGCTTCTGGGCTACTGACACATTTGTCAGGACTTGAGGCACTTTTCCTCTTCAATCATACTGACTCCTATCCAGTTGCTAAGCCCCAACTGCAAAAGCTCCTTATGTCCTTAGCAGGAACTATTTGCATAGGACTTATGAAGAGAGATAGGCCGAAAGCCAATGCTAGGGTATGAGAGAACATAGAAAAGGATATGGAACAAAAAAGGGGAAAATTCCACTCCAGTCAGAGCCCAGGGAGGCAAACTAGATAGAGAACTTGTAATCAACAAATTAATTTCTACTATACCTTGTTGTCTCCTTCTGTACCATCCACCTCCTGCCATTCAGCAGGAAGTAGCCAGACACCTGTGTTCACTCTTATCACCTAGGATTATGTGATAGAACAAATTAGCAGTAGGGATTTGTAATGGAAAATTTCTGTGTGTGTGTCAGTTGTGCTTTGATGTACCGTTTCTATCAGCATAAGGATTTTTTGTTGTTGTTGTTTTGTTTTGTTTTTGCTGGTCCTGGGCCTTGAACTCTGGGCTTAGGGGCTATCCCTGAGCTCCTTTTTTTTTTTTTTTTGCTCAAGATTAGCACTCTACTACTTGAGCTACAGCACCAATTACAGCTTTTTCTGGGATTAATTGGAGATAAACATTTCATGCACTTGCCTTCCTGAGCTGGCTTTGAACAACAATCCTAAGATTTCTTCCTCCTGAGTAGCTAGGATTACAGGCCTGAGATATTGGCATCTTGCTTGCCTTTACTCTTGCATGCATAAAACTAGGTATCTATCAAAGTATATATAAACCTTTGTTGTTTGAGGTGTAGGAATTCAAGAATCTTGCTATGTGAGTTAGTACTCTGCTTTCTTGACCCAGAGTAACTATGTTCCCTCCCATTTTTTTCTTGGTGCTGGTCCTGGGGCTTGAACTCAGGGAAGGCCTTAGGTGCTGTCCCTGATCTTTGTGCTCAAGGCTAGCGCTTTACCACCTGAGTCACAGCTCTACCTCTGGCTTTTTGGTGGTTAATTGGAGATAAGAGTCTCATTATCTTTCCTACTCAGGCTGGCTTTGAACTGAGATCCTCAGATCTAAGCCTCTTGAGTAGCTAGGATTATAGGCATAAGCCACCAGCATCCAGCAACCTCTGCTCATTTGCATGCCATTCTTCACCCAGAGGTTTTAACTTCCTTCCAGCTGCCTATGCCAGGACAGGCCCATCTATAGATGATCACTGTCCTCAACCTTCCAAAAACAACTTTCTGCTCCCCCCAGGATGGGGTGGAAAAAGATGGGTTTTGTCAGGAGACTTCTCCATCTCTTGGTCCTTCAGCTTTCCAGTAAATCCTGGTGTCAACACTTTTTCTGTCAAGTGATTGGCAACCAAAAAGCAAGTAATTGAAGTTGTATCCAACATCAGTTGAAGACAGATATCTCTAAAACATCACGCTTGCCAGGCTCCAGTGACCACATCTGTATTCCTAGCTAGTTAGGAGGCTGAGACCTAAGGGTCTTAGTTCAAAGCCAGCCACAGCCGACAAATCTGAGGGACCAATCTCCCAATAATCTGCAAAAAGCTTTTAGTGGATGCGTGGCTCAAGTGTAGAGCACCAGCCACAAACAAGGGACAGCTGGCGGTCCTGAGTTTAAGTGCCACTACCATCACCAAAACAACAGCAGCAGCAACAACACTCTTCCGGTCCTTGGTTCCAGAACCAGCGAGGTGACAATACGAGTGACTGCAAGTTCACAGCACTCTTGGAACCAAGTGCATTGAAGCTTCTTTCCCACTGGTTATTATAGTATCATTGTTACTGTGCATGATAAACAACCATGTTGGTTTGTTGGTTTCTTTGACTTACAGTCCAAATCGCCTTAATATTTGGTGGAAAAATATTGGACTATGTCTCCAATTTGTGTGGAGGTAAATTCGACTTCCTTGAGCGGCTCTCAGACAAATTGCTCCTGAGTATCATTTCTTACCTGGACCTAGAAGATGTTGGCAGGCTTTCTCAGACATCACACAGGTTTGCAAAGGTAACAGTCTGTTTTTTAAGTCTATGGAATCTGCCCTGTGTATTCTCAGAATAACAAAAAAGATACAGATACGTATGGGTGGCTCATACCTGTAATCTTAGCTACTCAGGAGACTGAGATCTAAGGATCGAAGTTCAAAGCAAAACTGGGCAGGAAAGTCTGTGAGTCTCTTATCTCCAGTTAACCACTCAAAAACCAGAAGTGGCACTGTGGCTCAAAGTAATAGATTGCTATCCTTGAGCAAAAGAGCTCAGGGACAGCACCCAGGCTCTGTGTTCAAACTCCACAATAGACCAAAAAGAGAAATTGCTGGCAGGTCTTGGTTTTGCTCCTGAAAGGAAGTGGGAGGTTTCAACAAGAACCAGCAGTTACTGCAGTCTAGCAGTGTTCACTTCTACTAGTTCTTCTCTTCCTCCTCCTCCTTTTTCTCCTCTTCCTCTTCTTTTTTTTTCTTTCTTTTCTTTGCCAATTCTGGGCCTTGAACTCAGGGCCTAGGCACTGTCTCTGAGCTTCTTTTGCTTAAGGCTAGCACTCTACCACTTGAGCCACAGCACCACTTACAGCTTTTCCTTTGTATGTGGTACTGAGGAGTAGAACCCAGGGCTTCATGCATGCTAGGCAAGCCCTCTGCCATTAAGTCACATTCCCAACCCTCCTCCTCCTCCTCCTCTTCTTTTTGGCGGTTAATTGGAGATAAGAGTCTCATGGAAATTTTCCTGCCTGGGTTGGCTTTGAACCATGACCCTCAGATCTCAGCCTCCCGAGTAGCCAGGATTACAGGCATAAGTCACTGGCGCCTGGTGATATTCACTTCTTACACTGAATAGTTGCCTGTCCTCCATGTTTTACATCTGCTCACAACATCCTGCCTTGAATTTAGATCAGATGTGAAACTATTCCACAACTTCCTCCTAAAATCAGACTTCTCCCAGTGTTCCATTCATCCCCAAACCAGACAAAGATGCAAGCAAAAGTGAACTAGAAACAAAATAATTGTAGGCCAATTACAGTACTGGAGCTTGAACTCAGGGGTGTTGCTCTCCCCAACCCGGCAAGCACGACAGGATACTGGAGCCAAAGAAATGAAAACAGACACAGAGAGAAAGAGTTAAGCATGTGGGGACCAGCAGAGACAAGGCTGACCAGCTCTTCAACACTGGATTTCCATAAGCAAGCCTATTTATTTAGTTTAGTACAGGGAAGGTTACCATAGATAGGTACATGCAGAAAACAAGACATCAATCTATTTTGTTATAACAATCATTGACGTGAAACAGAGTCTGTGCACATATTGAATAACTGGCTCCCTAATAACTGGCTCCAACTTAGATATAACGTAGATATCCATTCTGCTTTATCTGGTTCAGCCTTTCCAAGATCCAGTTCTCAGCCTTATGAATACTGATGAGGCGGCCTATCAACCTCTTAACCTTTTCCTGGTCATACAGCTCAGCTTCAGAGTTCCCTACTCAGGGCCTTCTACACACTCAGCCTGATTGCTTGGCTGGTACAGTGCCACTTGAGCCTTGCTTCCAGCCCTGTTTTCTTGCTAGTTATTTTGGAGACAGAGTTTTTCAAACTTTTCTAACCAGGCTGGGTTTGAACTATGATCCTCCAGATCTCAGAAGTTAGATCAAACTCTTTAATGAATATAAAAAATATACACACATGTATGCATACACATGTATGTAGAACTTGATTATAACTATGGGACTTTGAAAGGACCAGGGGGAGAGGGAAGACAGTGATGGAGAGTGACGGCTAAAACAAAAAGGAAAAGAAAGAAAGGAGAAAGTAAAGGAAAATTTATTGTGTATAGTTGAGGTTTTCAAGATGATGTGTTTACATTCACCAGTGGGGAGTGTCTAGCCTGTGAACCATACAGGGCCTTCAAAACTCATTTACAACTTCTTACTGGCTGGCCTCTTCTGCCTGTACTGATAATTTTGTGTGGCCTTTCAATGATGTATTTTAACTATTCAAATGGCCCTTGGCAGAAAAAAAGTTCTCTGCTCCTGATTATAGAGAACAAAATGGCTACTATACACATTGCAAAAAAAAATAACCAATCAGTCAATAAAATTAAGTCAGGTTTCTCTAGGTGGCTGATTTCTGCCCTCAGTGCCTTTGAGGAACAGAATTATTAGAAGATGGAACACGGCTCCGGGTTGCTGGGTTTTTCCATTCATTCCTATTGTCAAGCCAAGTTATATCTGAGCTCCATTTACCTGTGATGTCCCTCTGCAAATTACTTTCATTTACCTGCTTATATTTCAATCTGAGGACAAGTTTATTGCCAGATTATTTATGTCCATGGGCAACTCTTTCTGATCTGAGGGAGTTTTTTCTTCATCAAGGACAGCCTGTTTCCTGGATCCTCCTAGCTTAAGGGAGCATGTAGTTCAGATTTTTAACTCTTTAATTCCCCCCATACTCTCTCTCTCTCCCTCCCTTCCTTCCTTCCTTTCTTTCTTTCGTTCTTTCTTTCTTCCTTCCTTCCTTCCTTTCCTTTCTTTCTTTCATCTTTCTTTCTTTCCTTTCTTTCTTTCTTTCTTTCTTTCTTTCTTTCTTTCGTGGGGCCTGAACTCTGGGCCTGGGTGCTGTCCCTCAGCTCTTCAGCTCAAGGCTAGCACTCTACCATTTGAGCCACAGTGCCACTACTGGCTTTTTTTTTCTGCTTATGTGGTGCTGAGGAATCGAACCCAGGGCCTCAAGCATGCAAAGCAAGCGCTCTACCACTAAGCCACCTTCCCAGCCTTATACCCACTTTCTATACGTTAGTTTCTTCAAACCAAGCCCATTTTTTATACTTGTGTTTGTGTGTGTATATGTGCATGTGTGTGTGCCCTGGGAATTGAATTCAAGACCCGACACTGTCCCTACACTTTTGTGCTCAAGGCTAGCACTCCACCCTCCATTTCTGGCTTTGTGTGTGTGTGTGTGTGTGTGTGTGTGTGTGTGTGTGTGTGTGTGTGTATGTGTGTGTGTGTGTGTGTGGTTAATTGGAGAGAAGAGTAACATGTACTTTCCTGGCCAGCCTGGCTTCAAACTGCAATGCTCAGATCTCTTGTGTGGTTAGAAACCAGAGCTCTTGACCTGCAAAATACATTTACCAGAAACCTTATCTCCAGCCCTGAACAAAAACTTTTTTGACTTTACACTTTTCCAATTTCTCTTCTGAAAATGGTTTATACAGAGTTTTGTTCTCAGCAGATCAGCTTTATCTTTCTGATTTATAATCCCAGATAAAATAGGAAAAGTAAGGATGATATAAAGAATTTTTCTTGTGTATATGTGTGCACAAGCGCATGCATGTGCACGTGCCTACCAGTACTGAGACTTAAACCCAGGATCTCGAGGTTGCACTTAGCTTTTTCTCTCAAGGCTGACTGTTTAACAGCATGTCTGGCACAGAGTCAGCTCCCAGTATATTGTGGTTGTATGCGGCAATAACTTTACTAAGTCTAGGGCTGGGGCATAGCTCAAGTGGCAAAGACTATTTTGTTTGTATTTTTGAAAAAGGATATTGATTTCCTTCATAATGATGAGATTGGAAATGTTTAAAAATTGTATTTTCTAGTGGCTGGCAGACATATCACCCTTGGTCATATAATCTCTGTACCTTGGACACATAGGGTAATACAAGACACTGATTCCGTGGGTCTCTGGGATGAACAGGACTGGCCTTGGAGTGCATGTAGTATTAGCTCACAGTAGAGGACAGATATCCATTTAGCACAGTTAATGCCACCAGCAATCAGGGTCACCAGGCCACCTGTTCTTTCTCTAACTCCATGTTGACCCAGTCCTGTGGATGGTACCAGGGATGAGGAAATGAAGATTTGAAAGGCTTGATGGTTATAGTTTTTGCATAAACAAGGAAATGTCTCTCAGAGTTGGGCTAATCTGAAGGTGAACCCTCCCTCTCTTTTTTCTTTCCTTTCTCTCTCCCTCTCTTCTCTCCCTCTTCCTTCCTCCCCTCCTTCCTTCTTTCATTTTTCCTTTCTTCCCTCCTTCTTTCCTTCCCTCCTTCCTTCTCTCTCCTTCCCTCCTTCCCACCCCTTTCTCTTCCTCTCGTTCCTTTCCTTCCCTCTGTAGTACTAGGGCTTGAACTCAGTTGTTTGCTGGACTAGTACCACTGCCATGTCCCCATCCCCCAGGCTGAGTTTTCATCTTCACTTGCACAGCAGTGATGACCAGAAAGCTGCAGTCCTAGTTGTTCCTCACCACAAGCCTTATGAAACACTTATCTTCTCTGAGTCTTGTTTCACCATTTGTAAAAGGAGAAGTTTCACCTACTAGTTCTTTGGACCTCTCATGGTTCCTGTATGTTAACTTTGTACCCTACTACCAGGGGGTGCTGGGTCCATGATGAGCCATTTGAATCAAAATGGGTAGAGTCCACTTGGATGGATGCCTTGTGATTTCAATCTGCAATTGCCAGGCCAAAGAACCTCAGGGCTTGGGAATTTTAGATGGGAGTCATTTATAGACCAATTTATGAAACAAGACAATTTCAGACTAAATTGTGTTGTCATAAATGGACATAATGCTAGTTGAGACTTTAGCTGTTTTGAAGTTCTTTCCTTGGCTCTCAAACCTTGTTTTCTCCCATCATCTCTGTTATACAAGACACATAGATATCCTGAAGTATATTGTGCTAATAATGAGATGGTCATTCACATTCATGTTAGAGTGCAGCTATATTGAAGGAGGTCCAGATCTGTAATGGTTATTGCCTTGATGTTTATGTGGAAAGGATCATAAGCAGCTTTGCTTTATGACACTATTCATGTCTCTTTGTAGTTCATTTGTTTTTTCTATTCAAGAACTACAGAATTTAATGATTGCAAAGTAGTGTGCCAATCCCTTCCTGTTCAAAAGCCAGGGTGGGTCTTGGGGAAGTAGAGCTGAGGCTTGTGGCTTTCTTCCCCTGCCCCAGGAAGAAGTGAAGGCTTGTGAGAACAGTGCAGGACAGAGCGAAGGCCTGGCAGGGGTTGGGTGAGTGGGACATTTGGCTCTTTGGGATGGGGGTCGCTTAGGTTCTGAGAGGCTGGGGCTGGCCAGAAGAAGTACTGTGATGTCTATCATCAGGGTAGCTGTGGACACATTCAATTCTCCCTCAGACAGCTGGAGGAGGACATTAGATTCCTTGTGCACAGGAGGGGTTACAGCGTGGAAGGACAGCCAGGGTCCCAGAGTGCAGGACAGTCAGGCTTTCATGGGGCACTAGGCCAGCCACCCAGCTTGGTCTCTGAAAGCTCAGCTTCACCCCTTAAGGACAGTGCTGTTGCAGCCCACAGGGCATGCACTGGCCAGAGCTGGTCTCACTAAAACATCTGGAATGGACTGTACTGGTGACTCCAGTTGTCTTCAGTCTGCTGCCTACGATCTAGAAACTTCTCTGAAAGGAGGATCAGCATTACAATTGCTACAAGGCTTTAAATGCATCTGACATGTAGGCTGTTTCATTCACATTTCATTCTATCCTTATAGCAGATGTTGTAATTCTTTAACTGAATCTTCCTCTTTTTTTCCCCATGTTGATCTTGGGGTTGAATTCAGGATCTGGGCATTGTCCTTGAGCTTTTTTGTGCTTAAGGCTAGCGTTCTACCATTTGAGCCACAGCTCCACTTCTGGCTTTTTTTTGGTAGTTAATTGGAGATGAGTCTCTCATGTGCTTTCCTGCCAGGCAGGCTTCAAACTATAATCCTCAGATCTGAGCCTCCTGAGATCTGAGCTATGATTACAGGTGTGAGCCACTTGGCTCTCTGAATCTGCCTTTTTCAGTATTATCTTGTGTGGCAAATTTAGGTTCTAAAGAAATGACTGCTTGATTAAATTAAGGATAGACAATTGGGTTCTGTACCCTCTTAAATTCATCTAAATGACAAACTGGAAAAGAGAAGTACTTCCTCTGGTGTTAATTCAGTGAACATGAATTAATCAGTCATATTAGTCTTTGTCTACAAATATATGGCTCAATGATGTAATTGGATGTGTAATAGACTTCTAATTTTCCATTCTGTGAACTATTATTGGCTGTTCGGGCCTCTCCAGATTCCTGATCATAGCAGCAGAATGTCTATGTGGGGGCTAACTGCTTACAGGGCCTTGTTTTCTAGTCCTGTAATAGGATAAGTATAGGAACAGGCTGTTCAATGACCATTTCCTGTTTATTAAGTACATATATTCCAGGGACTCTGTGTGGGTGTGGGTGTGCACGCGCGCGCGCGTGTGTGTGCGCACGCGCGCACCCACACATGCACACATACTGGTCCTGGGCTTGAACTCAAGGCCTGAGCCTGTTACTGAGCTTTTTGTTCAGGGCTATTATTCTACCACTTGAATCACATCTCTCCTTTCAGCTTTTTGGTGGTTAATTGGAGCTAAGAGTCTCATGGACTTTCTTGCTCAGGCTATTAAAAACTGCAATCCTCCAATTTCAGCCTTTTGATTACAAGCATGAGGCACTTACTGGTCTTTATTTCCTCTCTACTCCTTACAGGGAATTTTTTTGAAACTAGGGGTTCTTGCTTGGCTTTTTCATTCAAGGTTGGTGCTTTTAGCCTGCACATGAGCCACACCTTTATTCCAGATCTTTGCTTGTCAATTGGATTTGTCTGCTCTGGCTGTCATTGAACCTTGATCCTCAGAGCTTAGCCTGAGTAGTTAGGATCATAACCACTGGCGCCTAGCTTCAGTACCAGGAATTGAATTTAGGGCTTCATCCTTGCTTGGCAAATACTTGAGCACAACCTCAGTCCATTTGCCTCTCTTGGGTTTTGCGATAGATTCTTATGTATTTTACACAGGCTGTCCTGGGACTGCTATCCTCCTAACCTTTGCCTTCTGGTAGCTGGTTTAAAGGCATCTCCTACTACATCTGGCCCACATGGTTTAAGCTTTTCTAACTGTTTCTAGGCCCAGATTGCTCCCTTGCTGCCCTTCCTTTTTATCTCATTGTGTGGCCAATAGGTTCACTTAGCTGTATTACAGCTATCTCAGCTTCTAACACATCAAAATCAGACCTCGATTTATCCCATACATGGGTTACTCACATGCCTTCTTCTCCCAAGTCTCATTATTTTCCATCATCAGCATAATATTGCTCAGGCCAAAAAGCTCATCCTTAATTCTTGTTCCCTAATTCTCCTAATGTAACTCATTAACCAGATGGATCCTTCCATGTCTACAATCTGTCTACTTCCCCCATCTGCACATGCCCCACACAGTCCTTCTACTCATAGTGGTACTTTTTGATCCAGCAATATTGGGATTTGAACTCTGGGCCTTGCACATTCATACCACTCAAGCCACAACCCCAGCTCCCCTTTGCCCAATATTTTGAGACAAGGTCTTCCTATGCTTCCTGAACTGGCTTTGAATTTATGATTCTTCCTTCTCAGACTCCCAGGGGCCAGGATGACAGGCATACACCTCAACACCCAGCCTATACTGCTTCTTGACAGCAGTTTTAGCCTGGCTTTAGAAAAAGCCAAGGCCTTTCTCTCTCTTTGTCACAATTCATGTTTCTTTAGAGGTTCAGGGCTAAAATCCCTAACATCCCTCCCCTCCTCCTCCCCCCATCTCTCCACTCTCCCTCCCTCCCTTCTTTCTTGTTTTTCCTTTCTTTCCTTCCTCCCTCCCTCCCTCCCTCCCCTCCCTTCTTCCTTTCTTCCTTCCTTCCTTCCTTTCTTTCTTTCTTTCTTTCTTTCTTTCTTTCTTTCTTTCTTTCTTTCTTTCTTTCTTTCTTTCTTCTTTCCTTTCTTGCCAGTTCTGGAGCTTGAACTCAGGTTCTGGGCACTGTCCCTGAGCTTCTTTTGCTCAAGGCTAACACTCTACCACTTGAGTTACAGTGCCACTTTCCGCTTTTTTCTGTGTATGTGATACTGTGTATGTGATATTGTATATGTGGCATTCCACCAAGTCACATTCCCAGCCTCTTCCCTCTCTGTCTCTCTCTCTCTCTCCTCTCTCTCTCTCTGTCTCTTTCTCCAAATAGAGTGCAATTGGATTCAGCATTGTGGAATCGGAGTTTTTCTTTTTAATCAGGCCTATTTACTTCTAATATTCACGTAGTAGCATTGCCCCTAAAAAGGAATTTTAAGGGATAAAAATAGGTCAACCTGATTTTCATTCTGTCTATACAGTAGGCTCTCTCTGTTCCCCTAAACATGGATATCTGCCCTAATCCATAACTAGCTGATCTCGATTCGTATTCTCAGAGGGGCCTCTGAGCTTCTTGCTTATTGATCTATTTATGTCTGCGTGTAAAAGATGCCAGCTACCTGGGTGACTTAGGCATGTCCCTACAGAGGAAGGATCCAGAATGGGCCCTGATACCACGAGTACAAAAGAACTGTGAGCTACCTAATGTCCCCAACTGTGCTTCACTCTCTCTCCACTTCTGGATTTTCACATGTGACAACCACAGAATAGAAGAGATGCAAGGGAAATGAGGCTGGTGATTAACTTCCTCCATTGGCACAGGTAATTGGAGCCAGGACATTGTCCCTCCTTGACCCATGTGGAATCCTTCTAAAAGCACCTGTCTGTATTACCTGGGGTTGCCACCACGTGACACCAAATACCCTAGCACCTGCGGATATTCACATTCTTGCCTCCACTTACCTTACGAAGGTTGGAGGTAACAAATAAATGTAATCAATACTTCAGGCAAGAGCTTGACCACTGGAGCTACAGCCCCAGCCCCAGCCTTCTCCATTTGCTAGCATTTACTAGCAGGTTAACAAGAATAGCTGACATAATTAATGTTGTTGGCTGAAAAGTTGAAACCCTGGATAAGTGGAAGCTGAATTTTTGCAGCTTAGAACATGGCAGAAGGACCCAATCTTGTCCTGCAAAATCACCTAGGGCTAGAGAGGTCTTGGCAAACTCTTTGTGATCCTTGATAGAGGCCCCAGTCCCAGAAAGCACCTCCCTGAGGTCGTCCTGCACAAGCATGCCTTTCCCTGTTCCTAGACAAGACAGAATCCTTTGTTCTTCTCTGGTGCTTGTTGCCATGTCCCACATGTAGAGAACTTGGGGCCAAACTTGTGGATGGAAGATTCTAAACCTGGGTGGTGGTGGTGGTAGTGGTACAATCCAGGGCTACTTTCTTCCTTTGCTGTAGTTTACCCTAGTAGCTCCTAGTGAATGAAGCTGTCAACTATGCAAGCCCAGGATTCAGGAAGAAAGTCTCCACCAGGGATACTTGGGGTGACTCAGTGGTAGAGCATTCACCCCACACAGGCAGGATCCTCGCTTTGATCCACAGCACTGCAGATATCAACCAAACAAAACTCATGATTAATAAAATGGCACAATTTACCCATGTACATTGTGGGTGGTGTGGGTGGTGGTGGTGGGGAGACAGCTTCTGTTGTGTGGTGATAAATGCATGCTGTGTGGCCAGACTTTCTGTGCCTGCTGGTCTCTCCTGTCCTGAATGAGACTGACTATAGATGTTTATGTATTTGTGTCCTTCCTAAACGAAGAGTCAGAAAAACCTCCTGTGTCTGGCACTTTTGTCTTTCACACGGGATCTTTCAGTGTCTGTCCTGTAGGCAGCAGGAACTTGCTAGCTGCTATGTTAAGTGAAAACATCTGAAGCACCATGTGCTCTAACCACATCTGGCTCTTTCTGCCCACAGCTGTGCATGTCGGACAAGTTATGGGAGCAGATAGTCCAGTCGGCCTCTTTCCCCATCACGCCTGACATGAGAGCCCTGGCCAAGGACCAGGGCTGGAGACATATATACCTCACCAACAAGCTCCAGCTCCAGCCGCCACTCACCAACAGAGATGGGCGGAAACAGAGACGGGGAGGCCAAAGGGAGAAGCACCATTAGGGACACTTTTTCCTGTGGGCAGGGAGATTTGCTGATTCTGGGAGTCATTCAGACGGCATAGAACGTTTGCACACAAACGCAACAGAACCTGGTGGCTCAGTGCCATGCTAGAACCATAAGGAAGCTCCACTGTGTGTAAACAAGCAATAAAGGATCCTTAGCATCTTTTCATTAGGTGTTTTATCTAGGCGTTCAGAAGGGGCACTAGGGGACTGCTGGGACCCTGTCATAGGAGGCACTGCAGGTGACTGCAGCCATCCTCCTCACTTTTGGCTCTGCTTTTGTATTCAGACCCTCACTCACTTCCTGATGCTTAATGAATCTATCACTTCTCAAAGGGATACTTATTCCCCAAAGGAGACAGACCGCTATTACTGGGTAATAGGGATTTGAGGTTTTGTTTTTGTTTTGTTTTGTTTTGCAATACCAGGGTTTGATCTCAGAGCCTGCTTGTGCTTGCTTGCTTGGTTTACTCAGCTGGCATTCTACCACTTGAGCTACATATACCTCCAACCCAGCTTTTTGCTGGTTTATTTGGAGTTAGAGTCTCAAAGACTTTTCTACCTTGGTTGGCTTCAAACTGAGATCCTCTAAGAGTTAGCTTCGTGTGTGTGTGTGTGTGTGTGTGTGTGTGTGTGGTGTGTGTGTGTGTGTGTGTGTGTGTGTGTGTGTGTGTGGTTAACTGGAGGAGTCTCCTGGATTTTCTTGCCCAGGCTGGCTTTGAACCATGATCCTCAGATATGTCAGGAGCTACCAATGCCCAGCACAACAATATGGTTTTGGTGTTTTGTTGTTGTTTTGTTTTGTTTTGTTCTGGTCTTGGGGCTTGAAATCAGGGCTTGGGTGCTGTCCTGAACTTTTGTGCTCAAGGCTGGCACTCTGCCACTTGAGCTACAGCTCCACTTCCAGCATTTTGGTGGTTAATTGGAGATAAGACTTTCCTGCTCACACTAGTTTAGAACAATGATCCTCAGTTCTCAGCGGCTGAATAGCAAGGATTCCAGGCATGAGCCAACAGACAATATGGTTTTGAGGACAAAAATTCTACCCCACTGAGGATTGTGTAAATATTCTTTCCCCCTGCACTTCCACAATGACTGATCACCTCCAGATAATGAATCTGAAGCAGCAAATGACTCATTGAAGTCACACAGCAAAGCCCCTTTGCATTTGTGCCAACTTAGTAACTGACTCTTCTTTCCTGCTTCTTCCACTTTCCCAGAGCTGTGGGACCAGTGAGGGCCTCAGGATGCACCAGGCCCTCTGAGTGGTATAGAAGTGGAGGGGGGCCTGGCTCTTTGCCCCACTTGAGTCCTTCTGGGACACCTTGATACCATGGATCATTATGTTGTCCAACCTGGGTCAGGTGATCTTCTGACTTCTTAAGTAGCTGGAATACAGGTGTATGCCTCTGTGCCTGGCTTCGACTCTTGTAGAAAAGGAGTGTTTTCTAAAACTTTTAGATCAACTCATGTAAATAGCAAACCAGATTTTATCTTTGTAGAGGTGAAGACCAACCCCAGGGCCTCACACGTATTTATACATGAACAGGACCTCTGCTCACCAACCCTCACAGTAGATTTACATACCAACCTGCGTTCCTGCCCTTCATTAGAGGTCCCACCCAGGCCTAGGTTTCCAGTGACACAAGTGTGGTGGGGTGCAACATGCTTCCTCACAGGTGAGGCTTTCCACCCAGATAGGGCAAAGCCTTCATCGCTGACAGACCAGGCCTTGCTCCATGCCCTGAAGAGTGATGAGCTGGTGCAGGGTGACGAGCTGCAGCACAGCATGAATGAGGGCATCCTCCCCTCCCTCCTCTCCCCAAGCTTCTCCTTCACTTATGGCCTGGGTGACTGTGGCTTCATAGGTTCATAAAAGGCATGTTGCAGATATGATCATAATTTGCTATTCAATAGGTCTGTGCAAAGACGACTCAATGGTAGCATCACTGTAAAATGGCAACAACTTGAAGTTTCATGTGTAGCTCAGTATAATAGTGCACACCTGTAATCCCAGCATTCCAGAGGCAGGGGGGATTGTGAGTTTGAGGCTAGCCAGGGCTAGCAAGATTAAGCAAAAATAAAATTCATGTGTAGTATATTATTAACTACATTGACAGAATATGAAAGTTGACAAGCACAAATAAGGCCATTTGAAAACACTTATGATATTACAGCATAATGTATATTATGATACATTATTTTACAAATTATATGTAATATGTGAAAACATATAGCAAACCCAAGAAAGGTGGATCACACCTGTAATGCTAACTTCACAGGAGGCTGAAAGTGGGAGGGCCACAGTTGGAGGCCAGCCCAGGCATAAAGTTCATGAGACCCCCTTCTCAACCAATATCTAGGTGCAGTGGCACATAATTGTCTCACCCTAGCAATATAGGGGGTTGAGATCTGGAGGACCATGGTTCTAGACCAGCCAAGGAAAAAAAGTTTACATTACAGGTGGCTCACACCTATAATTCTAGCTACTCAGAAGGCTGAGATCTAAGGATCCCAGTTGGAAGCAAAGCCCAGGCAGGAAAGCACATGAGACTCTTTATCTCCAATTAATCACTAAAAAGCCAGAAGTGGAGCTGTGGCGCAAGTGGTAGAGCGCTAGCCTTGAACATAAAAGCTCAGGGACAGTGCGCAGGCCCTGAGATCAATCCCCAGGATCGACAAACACACACACACACACACACATACACACAAATTTGGATCATTCCATCCCAATGGTAGAACCTGGATGGGAAGGGGGAGGTGGCACACACTCGTCACCCCCCCCTCCCAGTGATGAAAAGTGTAAAATAGGAGGATCAAGGTCAAGATCTAGGAAAAAAAACGAGACCTTACCTTAAAATAGTTCAAAATAGTATATACTGGAGGCATGGTTCAATGAGACAGTACTGCCTAGTTAAGTGCCCCCAAGTGCAAATCCTCGTGTGGAAGAAAAAAGATAGATAGATAGATAGACAGACAGACAGATAAAGACAGACAGATAGCTAGACAGATATATAGGTAGCTAGATATTTCTTTTTTTTTTTGGTCAGTTGTGGGGCCTGAAAGCTGGGCCTGGGCACTGTCCCTCAGGTCTTCAGCTGAAGGCTAGCACTCTACCACTTGAGCGTCAGCCCCACTTCCGGCTTTTTCTGCTTATGTGGTGCTGAGGAATCGAACCCAGGGCCTCATGCATGTAAGGCAAGCACTCCACCACTGAGCCACCTTCCCAGCCCCAAGGTAGCTAGATATTTGTATCTTTTTTTTTTTTTTGCCAGTCGTGGGGCCTGAACCCTGGGCCTGGGCTCTGTCCCTGAGTGTCTTTTGCTCAAGGCTAGCATTCTATCACCTGAGCCACAGTGTCCACTTCCAACTTTTTCTGTTTATGTGGTACTAAGGAATCAAACCCAGGGCTTCATGCATGTTAGGCAAGCACTCTACCACTAAGCCACATTCTCAGCCCTAGATCTTGATATCTATATAGATATATATCAGAGTGAGAGTCCACGGTTAACTCAGCCAAAATAACATTACTACGTCAGCTGTTATGTGGCCTATTTCAGTACCTTACTAACTTATTATTTTGTCAGAATTCGTACAGTATCATGGACCTAACGTTGTGTCTGTCAGCAGCAGCCTCGGGTGGAAAGGCTTTGCCCTTTCTCTGCTGCCTTGTTTGCCATGTGCTCCTAGGCTCTCATTCCAGCAACAGCATAGGTGGCCTGTGCTCACTGTGCCTCTTGACAGCTCTCGTGTAGATGGATAAATCTGCTTGTTTATGATGGATGTAACATTTCAGTGTGAAATGTCACAGCATTTTATAACCTTGCCCTTTCTCATCTTTTTGGTCTACTGTATTTCTACTGTTACCATTTATCATTGAAATTGTAAAAAATAAAATATCAATTTTTTTCTGATGGTTCATATATGTATGATTGTAAGGGCAATGGATTTATTACAGTATTTTTAGTTTCTAGTGCTCAGAATCATGTGTGCATGCTAGGCAAACACTCTATTACTGGACCTATGCCCCTAGTCCCAAAATATTGACAACAGCAAATGTGAATAGTTATAGACTGAAAAATATTTTGCATAGTGTCAGCTTTTACTACTTTTTTGTCTTGACAGGGTTGACATAACCCATGTATTACACCTCTAACGTAGAATCAAACTGTTTATTTTACTTGGCCCAAGAAGTTAGGCTGAAATGATCACTTTTAGAAGGGGCAGAAGCAGGGACCAACAATACCCTAGGTGCCATGTGTTTGTTTGGTGAGCTCCCTGAGACAGTGCGCACTGGGTCTCATAAAACAATCGTTCCACAAACATGAAACAAGAACACTAGTTTTGTGCTCTACGTTTTAGTGTAGGTCATCTTCAGTTTGTATTAACAAAATACAGTCTGAGTGGAGATCCAGGCTTTCCCACCCTGGCTTTTTATTTTTCTTTTCAAATGATAGGTCTTACCATTTACCCAGGCAGGTCTCAAACTGCTGGGCTCAAGGGATTTTTTTTCCTGGTAGCTTAAGAGATCTTCCAAGTACCTGGGACAAAAAAATATATGTCACTATGCCTGACTCCAGCCTTTCAACTCTGAAGCACTGGTTTCAATAGTTGCATGTAAAAAATATAGAGGGAGGGCTGGAAATGTGGCTTAGTGGTAGAGTGCTTGCCTAGTGTGCATGAAGCCCTGGGTTTGATTCCTCAGTACCACATGCACAGAAAAAACTGTGGCTCAAATGGTAGAGTGCTAGCCTTGAGCCAAAAGAAGCTCAAGAACAGTGCCCAGTTCAAACCCCAAGATGGCATATATATGTACTAAGTGACATCCATTTGCAGAAACACTGCACCTTAGGTTACAGGCTTATCAATATGGATGAAGTCATTGTAAAGTGTAACACCTTAGCTTCACATTTCTTCTTCTTCTTCCTCCTCCTTTTCCCCCTCCTCCTCCTCCTCTTCCTTCTCCTTCTTCTAGTATGGGCTAGGGCACTGTCCCTTAGCTTTTTCTCTCAAGGCTGGTAATCTACCACTTGAGTCACATCTGCACTTCTAGATTTTTGATGGTTACCTGGAAATAAAAGTCTCATGGAATTTCCTGCCCAGGCTGACTTTGAGCCATGATCCTTGGATCTCAACTTCTTGAGTAGCTAAGATTACAGGAGTAAGCCCCCCAGCCCCCAGCTCTATTTTCTCTTGAAAAGCAATTGTCCAGAGACTGGGGTGCCACTTGGAGCTCTTGGGGTTAGGAGCTGCAGAGGACTTCATTTCCTGCTGATCATGTTCTCAGGAACATAGTTCACCACTAGGGAAAGTTATTTTAGTTGGAAAATTTGCTCTGCCTACTCAAAAGTTCTTAGAGGCATAGACCTATGTTCATAGGCTGAGTTGAAGTAACCTTAGAGAGGCTAAGAGCAGCTTCCAGCTGTTGTCGGCTCTATGCCTTGAAAACAACAGGTAGTAACCATTTTACTCTGTACTGCAGTCTGTAAGAATGTAAAAGGTAAAAATACTTTTATTTTTATTTCAGATTTTGGCAGTTGGAACTCAAGGCCTCATATTCATTACACAGGCACTCGAAGCCTGCTCCACTTATGGCTTTTTGCTGGTCAGCTGGAGATAAGAGGCTTGCAGCAGACTTTTCTGCCAGGTTGGCTTTGAACCACAATCCTCAGATCTCAGCCTCCTGAATAGCTGGGATTATAGACATGAGCCACATTGGTGGCCATTTTTGAAAAATGTCTTTGTATCTTTACTATTACCACAGCAGTTTCATTGCAAAAGGTTCCAACTAAAATTTAGCTTTGTTATTACTGCCACTCTTCGGTGGATGTGGCCCAGCTTTGCTTCTGTACACATCATATGAGCAGTCAGGGACACTGGCACCACCTGCCTGCCCTAGGCTTCAGTTCAAATGCTTTGATCAGAAAACTGCAGACAAAGGTGAATGACTTATATAAATGAAGTATGAACCACTGTGAGCACCCTATAGATAATAATAGACCACAGTCCTACACGAAAGGAAATAATGTAAGTCAGAGTGAATAGTGAAATTGATTGGAATATTTTGCTCGAATATGCTGAGTGAATCTCCAATGTTATGCATATCAGTTGAGCCAGGCATGAATGTGCATGCCTGTAATCCAAGCCTCTATGAGGCTAAGGCAGGAAGATTGCAAGTTTGAAGGCAGCCTCAAACTTTACAAAGTGAGGCTGTGTCTCAAAAATAAATAAATAAATTGCCAGGCACCAGTGGCTCACATCTGTAATCCTAGCTACTCAGGAGGCTGAAATCTGAGGATTGTGGCTCAAAGCCAGCCTGCCTGGGTAGAAAAGTCCCTGTGAGACTCTTATCTCCAAATTAACCACTCAAAAACCAGAAGTAGAGCTCTGGCTCAAAGTGGTAGAGAGCTAGCCTTGAGTGAAAGAGCTTAGGGACAGTGGCTAGGCCTTGAGTTCAAGCCCCACAACTGACAAAAAAGAATTAGGAAGTGGAGCTGTGGCTCAAGTGGTGGAGTGCTCACCTTGAGCTGAAGAGCTGAGAGACAGCACCCAGGCCTAGAGTTCAAGCCCCAGGATTGGCAAAAAGAAAAAAAATTAATTGCTAAAGTTACTTAAAAGGCAGATTTGTTGGTCCTAACCTCTATAAGGTTCCAACTCACTAAGTAGGCCCAGGTAGCTACAATTAAAATAATTCTGGATGCAAATTTTAAATTGACATTTTATTAAATAAATTAATTTTGATTTAATTAATTTCAATTAAAATTATATGCATAAAGACACAAAATCCACCCCATCAACCAATTTTTCTCCAGAGCCAACCACTGTTAATTTTCTTATTTCTCAGAAGTCTTCTATTACACACAAACCTGTATTATCAATCACAGAAACCATCAGATTTATATATATTGATCTATTGCTAGTATCCATAGATGATCTCTCACTTGAGCCATGCCTCCAGCCCAGCTTTTTGCTCTTTTTTTTTTTGGTGCTGGTCCTGGGACTTGAACACCCTGAGCTTTTGTGCTCAAGGGTAGCACTCTACCACTTGAGCCACAGCTCCATTTCTGGCTTTTTGGTGGTTAATTGGGAGATAAGATTTTCAGACTTTCCTGCCCGAGCTGGCTTAACTACAATCCTCAGATTTCAGCCTCCTGAGCAGCTAGGATTACAGGCATGAGGCACTGGCACATGACCATATTCTTTTCTTTTTAGAGCAATATATTTGAAACTTGTTCTAATTCCACATAGAATTGATCTTTTGTTTTTCTTTTTCAAAGTAATGTCATAAATTTCACAGTATGGAGGTTGGAGGTATGGCTTAAATGGTTGAATGCTTGCGTAGCAATCAGAAGGCCCTGAGTTCAAACCCAGTACCACTAATAAAAATATCTATCTATCTGAAAGCAGATAAAATAATTAATAATCACTATAATTTAGGAGTATTCCCTTTACAGTCCCTCCCCAAATATTTTTTTTCCTATACAAAAACTCATTGATCATCTTTAAAGAGGACAAACTTTATTTAGTTATATTTAAATAAAATCACGAGTCTAGGAAGAGCCAACTCTAAAGCACATGATATAAACATACAACTAAGCCTTTGAAAGTATGTCTGGAGTTTTGCAGATAAGAACAAAAACAGGAAACTTTTGCTCTCCTTTGTATTATTGTCCTGATGGTGACACAAATACTACAAGCAATCTTTGTCCCATGGGGGCCTCGATTCCAAAGCCACTACTGCCAAAAACACAGGACGCCAGAAAACAACTGTACAAACAGGACATGAGCATGTGTAACATGCACATAATTAAAGCTAGGTCATTAGATCAAAAGAATTTCTGATGTATAATGAGAGGGGACCAGCCAAGTGAATCGGCTCTAGCACCTCAAAACATTCAACAATTAAGTGGTGCGGTCAGACAAATGAGTATAATGAAGCAAAATGTTTGGAAAAACACTCATCTTGGTGTCATCCAATCATCATCCTACATATACACAGCATTGCTTTAGCACTTAAGATCATGGGCTAAAACAAATGGAGTATGGCATGTAGTTTATCTTCTGCAATAATGCACAGGCAATTCTCAAATTATTGGAGCTAATATCAAGTGTAATATGTGTGTGCCAGTACTGGGACTTGAACTCAGGGCCTAGATGCTAACTGTCCCTTAGCTTTTCTGCTGAAGGTTGGTGCTTTACCATTTGAGTTATAACTGCCCTTCTGGCCTTTAGTAATTAATAGGAGCTAAGAGGCTTATGGATTTGTCTGCCTGGGATGGTTTTAAACCATGCTTCTTAGATTTCAGCCTCCTGAGGAGCTATGATTACAGGTGAGAGCCACTAGTACCCAGCTCTGGTGTATTTATTAGAAGTGTTTTCATTTCTCTGTCCTATTAGCTGCTTCTTATTGTTATTTGGGTGCACTTTTCATTGTCCCTGTACCCCATTAGACTTTAGAGAGTATTGGAGAAGTAACCAAGGAAAATTTGTTCTTTCAATCCTTTTTCAACAGCCAGGGTGAACTCAGAGTGGAACTAAACTGCTGACTGAACAACACTTGAAGGGTCTGGGAATGTGGCTTAGTGGTATGCTTGCCTAGCGTGCATGAAGCCCTGGGTTTGATTCCTCAGTACCACATACACAGAAATAGCCAGAAGTGGTGCTGTGGCTCAAGTGGTAGAGTACTAGCCTTGAGTGAAAGAAGCTCAGGGGCAGGGCTCAGGCCCTGAATTCAATCCCCAGGACTGGAAGAAAAAAAAAAAAGAAAGGGAAAAGGAAAAAGAAAAGAAAGAATACTTGTGATTCAAGTTTCTAAAAGCGTTGCAGCTTCTGATTATCAAGGATAAATGAGATTATGCCTCGTTCATTTTTAGATACATGTGGCCCATCAACACCGCCAGTGATACTAAGAGATTTATTCTGTGTGATGAGCAGATTTGGAGTATCCATTTCTTGTGTGGTGGTGCTAAGGATAGAACCCAGGGCCTTGGCACATGCTGAGCTTTACTACTCGGCTCTGCCTCTCACCCCATAAATAGAAATTTGCCTAATTTTAAGATATGTATAAACAACTACAGTAGCCAGAAATTTCAAAATGCTTCTGAGAAGAATATTCTGCAGTCTGAAGTGTTTGGCTTAGAAAAATAGACTTCTCAGATAAAGACAGGTATATATAGGTCGCAGACGGAGGAAATCGATGAAGAGAACTATTTTTAAAGTCTTTGCTGAGCTCAGGCAACTGACTAATCTATATAACAGAAGACACTAGAGATGGGCCATGTACCACCAGTGCCCTAGTGTCCCCTGCAGACATCCAGACCAAAGGAGTCCTCTCACTGCCTTCATAAGTTTAGCAACACTCTTTAGAAATAACTTAGCCACCAACTTCATATGTTATATGAGGTGGCAGAGTTCTCTATTATACTGATTGGGCAGGAAAAATAATTTAAAGACACAGGCCAATGATATGAATAGAAGTGTTTGAATTATAGCCCTTGATTGAATGGTTATGGGTAAAATACAGGTGGGAAACACATGATTCATGTTAACTTTATGAAAGAGAGAGAGAGAGAGAGAGAGAGAGAGAGAATGTGTGTCTGTGTGACAGTAGTGGGGCTTGAACTCACAGCCTCATGCTGTTACTTAGCTTTTTCTGCTCAAGGCTGGCACTCTACCACGTGAGCCACAGCTCCATTTGCCAGTATTTTGCTGGTTATTTGGAGATAAGAGTCTTCTCGAATTTGTCTGCCAGGAATGGCTTCAAACCATAATCCTCAGCCTCATGAGTGGCCAGGATTACAGGCATGAGCTACTAGAGCCCAGCTCATTAAAATTTTTGTCAGTTGTGGGGCTTCAACTCAGGGTCTGGGTGCTGTCCCTGAGCTTCTTTTGCTCAAGGCTAGCACTCTACCACTTGGAGCCACAGCTCCACTTCTGGTTTTCTGGTGCTTTATTGGAGTGCTGGCTTTGAACCATGATCCTCAGATCTCAGCCTCCTTAGTAGCTAGGATTGACAGGCATGAGCTACCAGTGCCTGGCTGAAGTCATCGTTTGTGACTGGATAATTGAATTGCAATTGATAGCCGATGCTGTCTCTCCCTAACTGCAGAATGCTTTCATAAAAAATATAAACCACGTTTCTTGAATTGCACTAAATTGGATTGTTTTGAAATTAAAGCCTGCCTTTGTTCTATATGGAATATCAGCAACTCCCTGTAATAATTGATTTCGGAAAAGCAGTCATATTCTGTGTGCTTGAAACCCAGTTCTCACTGCATTTTGTAGAAACATGCAGTTTTGTTTCTTTTGCCTGTTGGGTTTGAAAGCTTCCGTTCTCTGTGTGTTTGTAGCTCCTAGCCTAGTCCCAGTGAAGGATGAAAGAGAATGGTTCCCACAAGCACATCCGTATCAGTTATTTAACAGGCTATAAACACAGTCATCTCTAAAACTTAATGTGGTCCCTGATACGTGGCCCAGCACTGCCACTTACAATTTCAGCCATCACAGCGGCTCTTAAAAGTGACCCAGCCCAATCCTACAAACCAACCCCACATGGTCAGTCTCCTAACGAGGTAGGTAGGCGTGCAACTAATGAAATCAGAGTGAAATGCATATGGGACTCTCACACGTGTGCGTTGTCTATATGTTTTCTTCTGGATTGTTCTATAATTCGAATACATGGTTGGATGAGTAAAAAGAGTATTCCTATCATGTAAAGCAATCCACATATATAGAAGGAAAAGTCGTATTTTTGGGTGATGTCGTAGATCCACCCTATAAAACAAAAGAAAATATAATCAGTGTAAGTAGCTGCCCCAAACTCAGGAACACAAAGTAAAGATCTGCAAATAGTTCTTTTTTTCTTTTTTTCCTTTTTAAATTTTTTTTGGGGGTCTGGTCATGGGGCCTGAACTCTGGGCCTGGGCGCTGTCCCTCAGCTCTTCAGCTCAAGGCTAGCACTCTACCACTTGAGCCACAGCGCCCTTTCTGGCTTTTTTTTTTAAATCTTCTTATGTGGTGCTGAGGAATCGAACCCAGGGCCTCATGCATGCAAAGCAAGCGCTCTACCACTGAGCCACCTTCCCAGCCCCAGTTCTTTTTTTCTTTATTAATTTATTCTTTAATGTTTATTATGACACTGGGGCTTGATCTCTGTGCCTGATGTTCTTGCTTGGCTTTTTCCACTCAAGACTGGTGCTCTACCATTTGAGCTACAGTTCTTCTGCCTTTCTGCTGGCTAACTGGAGATAAGAGTCTCACAGATTTGTCTGTCAGAGCTGGCTTTGAACTGCCGTCCTCAGATCTTAGCTTCCTGAGTAGCTAGGATGGAAGGCGTGAGCCACAGGTGCCACTTGGGCCATTGGGCATCTCCGGAGACATCTGCAGAAGTGGTGACCTGGCTCCATGTCCTGGTTAACTCCAAGCTGCACAAAAGCAGCAGTGAAAGGTAAATCCAGTGCCTCTGCTTCTCTCTCTCTCTCTCTCTCTCTCTCCCCCTTCTCTTTCTTGGTTATTGTTATTGGTTGTAGAGCTTGAACTCAGGGCCTGGGCATTGTTGTTGAGTTTTTCTGCTCAAGGCTACTGCTCTAATACTCTGAGCCACAGCTCCACTTCCAGTTTTCTGGTGGTTAATTGGAGATGAGTCCCACAGACTTTCCTGCCCAAGATGGCTTTGAACCATGATCCCCGGATCTCAGCCTCCTAGGATGACAGGCATTAGCCATAGGCACCTGGCACTGCTGCTGCTGCCTCTTCCCCCCCCCTCCTTCTCCTCCTCTCCTTCTTCTTTTCTTCTTAACAGTATAAACAACAAAACCTTCACGACTTGTATATGTGTGTGTTTGTGTGTATTTGTGTGTGTGTGTGCGCGTGCATGTGCGGACGCTCATGCACTAGTCCTGGGACTTGAACTTAGGGCCTGGGCACTATCCTTGAGCTTTCTGGCTCAAGGCTAACAGTACCACTTGAGCCACAGCTCCACTTATTGCTTTTTGGTGGTTAATTGGAGATGAGTCTCCAGACTTGCCTCGGCTGGTTTGGAACCACGTTCCTCAGATCTCAACCTTCTGAGTTGCTAGGATTATAGACATGAGACACCAACACCTGGACTTTAGAACTTTTAAAAAGATATTTCTAGTATACATCAAAGAGACTGGAAAAAGACAGTTAAATTTCATTCATTCTGAAGTATCTGAGCATCACATAGGTTCTACTATGAACTAAAATTTCCAAGTTTGGTAAAAATTCACATTTACAGTTATAAATCTGTATTTATGGGGTGCCCTGTAATGGCATATATTTGTGCATTGTATAATGTTTAAAGCAGATATATTTATGTTCTCAAGCACTATTTCTCTCTGGTAAAATTTTTCAAAATCCTTTTTTGGCCCTTTCAAATGTACAGCATTTCATTGTCTATAGTTACCCTGCCCTGCAGGTGCACACCAGAATTTGTTGGTCCTACCTAATTGAAACCTAGAATCCATTGATCAACCTTTCTCCAAATATCAATGCTTAATCTTTAAAATGTTATGCTGGATATGGTAGCTCACACCAGTGACCCTAGCAACTCAGGTATAAAGTTCTTGGTTCAAGGCCAGTTCATGCAAAAGCAAGAGACATTATTTGAAAAATAAACTAAAAGCAAACAAAGACTGGGGGTGTGGTTTAAGTGATAGAGCACTTTTTGTTGAGTGCAAAACCCTGCATTCAGTCTCCACTACCCTCCCTTGCAAAAAATAAAATAAAATTGAAACTCTAAGTTGCCAGATACAGAACTAAATGCTGTTATCGGTTCTTCTCAAATGAAGCTTTAACATAAGAATCAAACACATTTATATACATTAGTCTTATATACCAATAAGAAAAAAAAGATTCTTGTCAAGTTCATGTTTTCTTGGGACTTTGTAAAATGTATTTCAATTTCAGTGGTATTAAAATGTAGTTCTCAACAACTATGAAACACTTTTTATTTACTTGAGTGACTAATTCTGAGTCAATCTCTTGTTACAGTTCCCAGATAGCCAAGTATGAAAACTGACAAGACTAAGCTACAGACAAGAATTTCAATTAGGGTAAAATATAAATGCTAAAGACTACATGTAGTGGCTCATGCCTGTAATCTCATCTACTCAGGAGGCAGAGGTCAAGGGATCAAAGTTTGTCTCAGTGCCAGCTTTGGGTGGAAAAAACAAAAACAAAAACAAGCGAGAATATAATGACCTGTGTTCAAAGCTCCAGTACTGGCACACACACAAAATTAGTTTCTCATTAGTCTTTTCATCCCTGACAAAGTTGACACCGTCATTCAAGAGTTAAGGTCCTTGTGAGAGTCAACAGGAGTCTCAGAGTCACAAATGCTGACAGTTAAAGTAGCTTGACTATTATTAGTGCTGCTTCACGTTGTCTTGGGAAATTGGATGGAATCCCACATGGCTGGCAAATCCCAGACGGCTGCATTTGGTGCAGTCTGTTGTTGTACTTTCCTTTGAAGTGGTGCTCAGAGCTCAGGGCTCTATGAAGTGGTCTGGCCTCCCTCCCTGATCTGGCCTCACCCAGCCACAGGAGACATTTCATGCAGCTTCAAAAGAATTCCTTGCCTGCTGGTAGTGGCTCATGCCTGTAATCCTAGCTCCTCAGGAGGCTGAGATCTGAGAATCACAATTTGAAGCTAAGAGCAGAAAGTCCATGAGACTCTGGTCATCAGGTAACCAGCAAAAAGCCAGAATTAGAGCTCGAGTGGTAAGAGTGCTAACCGTGAGCACTAACCTTGGGACAATGCCCAGACCCCCTGAGTTCAAGCCTCAGGACCAGTACAAATAAAATAAAAATAAAGAATTCTTCTGTGTGCCCTCCCTCTCTGAGGGGGTCCCTGCTTGGAGAATGCCCCAGATCTCCTTCTCATCACCCACCCCTTGTCTTTTCTCTCCAAAACAGAAAAATGTCTTTAAAATATATAAGGGCCTTAAAATAAATTGTATTTTTTTCTTTAAATCTCGCATCTAAAAGAGCAGTAGGGTGAACATGACTGAGTAAACTGCATATGTGTATGCAGAAACCTGCTGAGCCCCAGAAATGGGCAAGTAAATAGATGGCAATAAAAATAAAATAAACATTGTACCTTTCCCCTGAAAGTGCAAGCATTAGTGAAACCATCGCCCTCTGCCCCAAGCCTTAAATAACTCACGTCAATTTTTTTTTGTGGTGGTTATTGCCACTCCTAGAGCTTGAACTCAAGGCCTGGGCACTGTGCTCAGGCTGGCACTCCACCACTTGAGCCATAGCTCTACTTTCTGGCTTTTTGGTGGTTAATTGGTGATGAGACTCTCATAGACTTTCCTTCCTGAGCCAGCTTCAAATCATGACCCTCAAATCGCAGCCTCATGAGTAGTTGGGATTAAAGGCATGAGACAGGTGCCCAGAACCACGTGCACTTTCTTTCCAATAATATAGTAGACATTCTGTCCAGCTCGTCTGGAACTGCAATCCTCCCCAGTTCAGCCTCTCATAGAGCTAGAATGACAGGCACACCCCCCTGTGCCCAGCTATGGGTTGAGAGGGAGTCTTATGAACTTCTCTGCCCAGGCTGGCCTTGAACTGCAATCTTCCCATCTCAGCCTCCTAAGAGCTGTGATTATCACTGTGAGCCACCAGTGTCTAGCTTGAGAAGTGGAAGCTTTTTCATGTCTGGTGAAATGTGCATACCTAGCTCCTGACAGGAAACACGAATTGTTATTGATTAGGTAGTTGACTTCATGCAAATGGAAGAGACAGGTATGGATTTTGGCCAGCCCAAATCCAAAATTTGGCAGAATTTTGCTAGACTATAAATTGGAAGCATGTAAAAAACTATGTGCTATTATTACATTTTTAAGGGAGAGGTACATGCCCAGCAATATTATAGTGTAAATTAGATGGAGAAGTTCATGTTGCTAAATGATATGATTCAATTGTATATTCTTCTAAATGGAAATGTGTGATTGTCTGACATAGTACTGAATGGTATGATTTTTCAATGGCAGAAGAACCTTTCTGAAAAATGAGGCCACACCTACTTCTGAACGTACTTATATAAAAAAAGGTAACACGAGCAGCAATTTTCTTTGCAGCATACCCAGCTAAGTAGTCATTTCCAGCCCACCATGAGTTGCTAGCAAGAATGTAATGTAGTTATTCAAGCTCTCACATTGCTGGTCACGGCGACTCTACAGGGCCTAAGTGCTGGGCTTGCATCTCATTTTGACATTATCTGCTTTGCCCAGAGAGTTAATGAATAGAACATAATGTAGGCAGCCTGCCAGGCTGCTTCCCTCTTGCACAAGTTCAGTGGAAAGAAAGAAGCCAACAGACACTGAAGGAAAAGCCCTTGTAAGCCCTCTACTAGTGAGTCTAGGAAAGCACATTACTCCCGTTCCCAACTCCCCACAGTTCTAGTTAATCGGAGATAAGTGGGATTCTGGTAGAACTAAGCCTTTTCTTCCTTTTTCCTTCCATGCTATAAGTGATGGTGTACTGTCTGGAGCCACAGTAGGTGCTTTGTGATCGCAGGCAATCAGCATGAGAGCAGAGAGGATTCCATCTAGGCCCTGGACTCTATGGGTTATACGACACAATTAACTCTGTTTCATCTACCATTGTGAAGGTGTTTTAAGTAAAATTATTTGTGTGTGTGTGAGCATGTGTACTTGAACTCAGGGCCTGAATGCTGTCCTGTAGCTTTTCATATCAAGGCTGGAGGCGCCCTACCCTTTGATTCGCAGCTCCACTTCTGGCTTTTTTTCCCCCTCTGGTTCATCAGAGATAAGAGTCTCCCAGGCTTTTCTGCTTGCTCACATCTCAGCCTCCTGAGTAGGTAGCTAGAGTTACAGGCGTGAACAGTGGCCCCTTTCAGAGGCATCTTTTGTAGTTGAGCTTTGGTTGATCAGAGTTCCTGAACCCTGCTGGCGGGGGTGGGGGGGGGAGTTGGGAGGAAGGGGGGGCTCACCCGCGAACGGAGGTCCCAACAAGGCGGAGATGCCGTTGGCGCAGATGATGATGCCGTAGGCGTTGGCCAGGTGTCGGATGCCCACCAGGTCCTCGGTCACCACGGGCATGAGGGAGAAGTAGCCGCTGGAGAAGCCGATGAGGGCGCAGATGACGGCCAGGCCGGCGTAGGTGCGCAGCAGGGGCAGGAGGAAGATGCTGAGGCCCAGCGTGAGGTTGGCCAGGAGGAAGACGGTCCAGACGCGGACGCCGGGCAGGTCGGCCACGGCGCCCAGCACCACCTTGCCGGCGATGTGCACGATGGCGATGATGGAGGTCAGCGGGAAGACGTCGTTCTGCGCCGACAGGTGGTAGAGGTTGACTATCTCCGGGAGGTGGATGAAGGGGACGACGAAGCTGCTGTAGGCGAACAGCGCCCAGAAAACAAAGGCCACGAACACGTGGTTGGTGAAGAGCGAGGCGGCGCCGAAGTAGCCCGCGTGCCACTCGCGGAAGCCCCGGCGCATGCGCCTCGGCAGCCGGCCGGCCGCCTTCACCAGCCGCAGG